CATGTAAAAGAATGAAATCAGAACACTCCCTAACACCATACACAAAAATAAACTCAAAATGGATTAGAGACCTAAATGTAAGGCCAGACACTATAAAACTCTTAGAAGAAAAACATAGGAAGAACACTCTTTGACATAAATCACAGCAAGATCTTTTTTGATCCACCTCCTAGAGTAATGGAAATAAAAACAAAAGTAAACAAATGGGACCCAATGAAGCTTAAAAGCTTTTGCAAAGCAAAGGAAACTACAAACAAGAAGAAAAGACAACCCTCAGAATGGGAGAAAATATTTGCAAATTTATCAACAAACAAAGGATTAATCTCCAAAATATATAAACAGCTCATGCAGCTCAATATTAAAAAAACAAACAACCCAATCCAAAAATGGGCAGAAGACCTAAATAGACATTTCTCCAGAGAAGACATACAGATGGCCAAGAAGCACATGAAAAGCTGCTCAATATCACTAATTATTAGAGAAATGCAAATCAAAACTACAATGAGGTATCACCTCACACCGGTTAGAATGGGCATCATCAGAACATCTACAAACAACAAATGCTGGAGAGGGTGTGGAGAAAAGGGACCCCTCTTGCACTGTTGGTGGGAATGTAAATTGATACAGCTGGTATGGAGAACAGTATGGAGGTTCCTTACAAAACTAGAAATAGAATTACCATGTGACCCAGCAATCCCACTACTGGGCATATACCCAGAGAAAGCCAGACACATGCACCCCAATGTTTGTTGCAGCACTATTTACAATAGCCAGGTCATGGAAGCAACCTAAATGCCATTGACAGAGGAATGGATAAAGAAGATGTGGTGTATATACACAATGGAATATTACTCAACCATAAAAAGGAACGAAATTGGGTCATTTATAGAGACGTGGATGGATCTAGAGACTGTCATATAGAGTGAAGTAAGTCAGAAAAAGAAAAACAAATATTGTGTATTAATGCATTTATGGGAACCTAGAAAAATGGTACAGTGCAGTGGCAGGCTGCACAGGCTCCCGGGAGGGGAGGTGTGGATAGTGACCTGTGCTTGCACACAGGATTCTTGGTGGCTGCAGCAGGAGAGTTAGCCTTTCATGCCTGTCTCTGGGTTCCAAGCTGATAGCCACGGCTTGCGCCCATCTCTGTAGCTCTGTTAGGTGGTGCTCTGCCTTCTTTGGGCAGACAGGGAAGGAACCCCCTCTCCTCGCACACCCTGAAACAATGGTCTCTTGCTTCTTAGACAGGTCCAGGCTTTTTCCCGGACTCCCTCCCGGCTAGCTGTGGCGCACTAGCCCCCTTCAGGCTGTGTTCACGCAGGCAACCCCAGTCCTCTCCCTGGGATCTGACCTCCGATGTCCGAGCCTCAGCTCCCACCCCGACCCGCCCCCGGAGGTG